AGATACGTCATCGGCGTACGCGGAAACCCTAGACCCTCCAGGCACGGCAATTCCGTATATACTGTATAACTAGGATATTTATTCCGTGAAATATGTGTGGCACAAGGCCGAAAGGGGGGGGGGTAGAGGCTGGTCTTCACTAACTATCTTATACCTAGCTAATCAGATTCACGACCCATTCATACGTTACAATTAACCCATTCACCACAAGAACTTGTCCATCACCACTCAATCCTTCATGCACCATAATACCAGATTCTCACCAGGGGACCTACCAAAACGCGCCCCAAACCATAAAAATTTGATGATACATAAAATTCTATACATAAAATTATAATAATGATAGGATGCAAGGGAAGGAGATGAACCCCGAAAATAACTAAAATAAACACAAAATTCAAACTAAACATAACATATGTTAGTAGGGACCGTCCAACCCTCAAAACAGAGAGGCCGCTGTATTCTGCCCAAAGGACAAAATCAAGAAGCACTCTCGCTAAGGGAGGGGAAAGAGGATAAAATATTATACGGACATGGGAAAATATAAAACTGATCCAATCAAGATGAAAAAAGGGGACCAAAACAAACTGGGGAGGTTGGGAATCTCGACTTGGACCATAACCAAAGAGCAGCCGGGATACAGGCCAGAACGACACTTACTCACATTAACTAGGTACACTGAAGCTTGTCTAACCTAACCAAGGGGAGGGTTCCGCAGGAAGCCACCCCGATGTGCTATAGGTTGACTTAAAAAAAAAATCAAGGCTAGCCCCGGTCACACGAACCAGGCTTGCTACTTTTACCCACCTTTCGCTGAAGACTGTCGAATGCAATCCGTTTTCTATCAGATCTAATCTTCATCTTGAGCTGATGCTCAAAGAATTGGATTAGATGCTGATAAGAAAGACAGTTGCCCCGCAAGACTTCCTCCATTCGCGTCGTCCAAATCACCATTCGAGCCGTGGCCATCAGCATCAGAAACACCATTCGTTTCTCCCCGAATACAGGGGCGACACATTGTCACACGCGTATGCGCGATCCATGGACACTAGCTGTTCGGGAGCGAGACGAGCCGTCAGCTCGCCGACATGGTCCCATAAGGGGCGGACCAGGGGCAATGGTAGAAGGCGTGCGCAGCCGTTTCTTCTAAACCAAGACCACACCGTTCACAGTCTGGCAAATCCGCCAAACCCCATATGAAAGCCTTGTCATTGAGAGGCAGCCGATTCCGAGCCAATCGCCAGGTAAGCGAAAACTCAGGGTTACTGAGGTAATCCGCCGCTGGCGCCCAAGACCAATAGGGCGATACTCCTCCTCCGACAAGCCGAGCGTATCACGTAGTTTATCCTTCGCGCGACCCTCCACTAAACCACGATAGAAGACCTTCCTAGGCCGTGAAAGGTCACTGGACCGGGGAATGGCCCTCAAGGCCAACCGACACTCGTGGATGAAATCCGACTCTTCCCGGAGCCTACAACGGCGCTCGGCCCTCGAGATGGGGGGACTGATAGTAAGGCTAGGGAAGGCGTCCCTAACAATCCCCTCCAGAATCGGATCTCCCCTAGTCAATGCGCGGCGTAGGAAAGCCAACCTAGAGGCACGGATGTGACTCATAAGGTGCAACATTCCCAGCCCCCCATGACACGGACGTTTGGTGCAGACTCGTCTGTCGACCCTGTTCACGCGTCCCCTCCATAAAATGGAGGATAGCGATCGCTCGAGCACCTTCCTGCGGTCTTTACAGAGAGGAAGTACGGACAACCGATAAAGAATCAGGGGAAAATGTATGTAACACACACCTCCGCCCTGCCCTTCACGGACAACCGCCGTCGATTCCAAGTCTGACCGGCATAATCGACCTTTGCACGTACTTCAGACCAATTCTTCTCCAGCTGGAGGTCGGGCCCAAACCACACTCCAAGAATGCGGACAGGACCGTCCGTCCAACCGAAGCGGCCCGGAAGATCGACCCCTTCCAGGCACCTAACCGCAAGCCGGACGACTTGTCGCGGTTTATCTTAGCCCCGTCACCTTCTCGTACCGATCAAGCGCCTTCTGTACCGCCTCAATGTCGCTATACGACACGAAACGTATCGGCGTACGCGGAAACCCTGAGCGAGACCCTCCAGGCACGGCAATTCCGTATATACTGTATTCCTAGTATAGTCGACCAATAATCTACCAATAGAAGGTTGACCAATCAGAAGTCGCAGAACATTGTATCCGTCGTGTATAAAGGCGGCCATCTTTGTTTATCCTACCGGAATGACCAGAGCCAACTTGTCAGGCGAAGGTGACAGAAGGAAGAACTACGCTCTGCTACTTTGCTGCGATACTGAACAACGCTTTCCTACTGTCTCCGAAATATTCACTGCCAACCTCTGGATTCTATACTCGAAGACGACCGTCATGAATTTGTAACAAACATTATTATTATTGCATATTTAAAGTCTTTTAATTTGATTTTCACTCCTCTTTATTTGGATGTGTGTAGCTTTATGCTTATCGGGACTGAAAGTTGGATTAATATGTCGAATTTAAACTCCTTTCGTCAAAATGCACTTAGATCCATTTAACTTCTTTTCATTTAGAAAGGAGTGAAATAGGAGCGTATTACCAGGCTTAATACCTTTGGATGTCAAACTCACTGGGAGAATGGCGACGCTGAATTCAAAACTGTAGACAACTTGACTAATTTCATGGCTAATGTTAAAAAGTACTTAATTCCTTAGTTCAACTAGTTCACCGCTAGGACCTTCCAGTCTACGTATATACGATCGAATCCTCCACATTACCTTCGTATTCTATTGGTAAGTAGAAAGTTCTACTGCGACAGATTCTTTTCCACAACTGTTACTTTATGTAACAGACTCCCGAGACAATGCTTTCGCGATCACTATGATCTTAACCTCTCTAAGCTACATGGATAATAGCAACACTTCTTACCTTTTCCTCTTACGCCCTTATAATAACATCAATTAATAACTATCTACCTTGAGTTGTTCCTGTGCTGTATATTGGGTGGACAATAGCATAAAAAACACTCTTAACATCAGAACATTTTCTGTTTGCGTTCTCTTCTTGTTTCTGTCCAACCCTTGGGCCTTAGGGTTCCAGATGAGAAAAATAATACTGCTTTCCAGAAAAAAATTACTTCGGATTACACTTCGAATCAGTTGGGTTTGCAAAATTTCGAAAGACAGATAGCACAAGACAAAAATGCTTGTCTTGGCGGGAAAAACGGTGAAAAGAAAATGATCCTTTCTATAACAAATAATAAGGCTGTCGAAAAAACACAAGTAAGAAAAGTCTTACACCAATTTCTTCAGAGCATTAAATCAAAACGGGCTCGTCCAAATATTTCATGTCTAACGACAATGTTTGTTTATTTAACTGCATTTCAACTTCTTATGGGACATTTAATAGCGAATTTGGGCACCTCGCGGTAGTGTAATGCTTAACAAGCTAGTCTCGCTAGAACGATTACAACTGAGTAGTGAGTTCGATCCTCACTGGGTACCCCCTACTTTAGGCCTTGTGCCACATCTAAGCTACGCTTGGAAAATCGCTATTTAATACCGAAATTTAATTCTCTTGGGAACATTAGGAATTTCTTTTGTTGCAAAAATGTATTGCTTTAATTTTTTTTTTTTTACAAAATGTTGGCTGGTATTTTTTTTTTCTTACAACAGTGAATTCCTGGCATTTTTTACTTTTTTGTTACAAAAATCTATTGCTGGTAATTCTTTTCGTTACAAAAACATATTGCTAGTATTTTTTTTATTACAAACATGAATTGCACGTAATCTTTTTGTTACAAAAATATATTGGTAGTAACTTTTTGTTACAAAAACGAATTTCTGTTAATTTTTTTTTTTTTGTTACAAAAATATATTGCTGTTAATTTTTTTGTTGCAAAAATGTATTGCTGGTATTTTTTTTTTAAAAACATGTATTGCTGGTAATTTTGTTTATTACAATAATATATTGCTGGTAAATTTTTTTTGTTACAAAAATGTATTGCTGGTAATTTTTTTTTTTTTTTTTTAAAATAGTGTTGGTATTTTTTTTTTTTTTTTTATTTTTTTTACAAAAAATGTATTTCTGGTAATTTTTTGATTGTTTTTTTTACAAAAATATATTGCTGCAAATTTTTTTGTTACAAAAATATATTTTTGATAATATAGTTTTTCCTTATAGAAATGTATTGCCGGCAATTTTTTTACTATGAAAATATATTGCTGGTATTTTTACTATAAAAATGTATTTTTATACTTCCATAGTGTTTGGGGATTCACTAATAGACCATAGCTGGGGAACTTAACAGGTGCTACCACCCCGGATCAGGGTGAACCTTGGAACAACAGCAACTAAACTTTGGTTCCACGCTCCTCAAAACCTTATGATCAGAGACTTTGCTGCCAGATGTAGTTTATCGTCATACCCAGGACGCTCTAAAGACATTTAAAACCGATCTTGCAAATATAAACATTCTACTTGACATTACAAATCCAAAATCTTTCCATCAACTGAAGAACTTAGCTTCAGAAGTGCAGTTGGAGTTATCATGAAATACTTTATTTTATGTACGAGTAAAAAGAAAAAGGAAGAGAAGAAACATTAGAAAACTTCCTAACAGTAGTGATATACTTAATGTATTTTGGGTGTGAATAGAAGAAGAAGGGGTAGGAGAAACAAGAAGAAGAAGAAGAAGAAGAAATTAATAAATTGTTATCAATAAATTTATTATTATTAAAATAATAATGTAATAATTCAACAAATATCTTTTTTTGTCTATCATCACTTAACTCAAAAACAACTATAACTATTTTTTAAATCATTTCGCCCCAACCAAGGCACACGAATACGCAGGGGTTTATAGGGAGTGAAAATGAGAGAAGAGACTGAGTATAGGGAGTGAAAATGAGAGAAGAGACTGAGTATAGGGAGTGAAAATGAGAGAAGAGACTGAGTATAGGGAGTGATAATGAGAGAAAAGACTATAGGGAGTGAAAATGAGAGAAGAGACTTAGTATAGGGAGTGAAAATGAGAGAAAAGACTGAGTATAGGGAGTAAAAATTAGAGAAGAGACTGAGTATAGGGAGTGATAATGAGAGAAAAGACTGAGTGTAGGGAGTGAAAATGAGAGAAGAGACTTAGTATAGGGAGGAAAATGAGAAGAGACTGAGTATAGGGGGTGAAAATGAGAGAAGAGACTGAGTATAGGGAGTGAAATGAGAGAAGAGACTGAGTATAGGGAGTGATAATGAGAGAAAAGACTGAGTGTAGGGAGGAAATGAGAGAAGAGAGACTGAGTATAGGGTGTGAAAATGAGAGAAGAGACTGAGTATAGGGAGTGAAAATGAGAGAAGAGACTGAGTATAGGGTGTGAAAATGAGAGAAGAGACTGAGTATAGGGAGTGAAAATGAGAGAAGAGACTGAGTATAGGGAGGAAATGAGAGAAGAGACTTTGAGTATAGGGAGGATAATGAGAGAAAGACTATAGGGAGGAAAATGAGAGAAGAGACTTAGTATAGGGAGGAAAATGAGAAAAGACTGAGTATAGGGAGTAAAAATTAGAGAAGAGACTGAGTATAGGGAGGATAATGAGAGAAAAGACTGAGTGTAGGGAGTGAAAAATGAGAAGAGACTTAGTAGGGAGGAAATGAGAGAAGAGACTGAGTATAGGGTGTGAAAATGAGAGAAGAGACTGAGTATAGGGAGTGAAAATGAGAGAAGAGACTGAGTATAGGGAGGATAATGAGAGAAAAGACTGAGAGTAGGGAGAAATGAGAGAAGAGACTGAGTATAGGGTGTGAAAATGAGAGAAGAGACTGAGTATAGGGAGGAAAATGAGAGAAGAGACTGAGAGCAGGGTGAAAATGAGAGAAGAGACTGAGTATAGGGAGGAAAATGAGAGAAGAGACTGAGTATAGGGAGTGATAATGAGAGAAAAGACTATAGGGAGTGAAAATGAGAGAAGAGACTTAGTATAGGGAGTGAAAATGAGAGAAAAGACTGAGTATAGGGAGTAAAAATTAGAGAAGAGACTGAGTATAGGGAGTGATAATGAGAGAAAAGACTGAGTGTAGGGAGTGAAAATGAGAGAAGAGACTTAGTATAGGGAGTGAAAATGAGAGAAGAGACTGAGTATAGGGTGTGAAAATGAGAGAAGAGACTGAGTATAGGGAGTGAAAATGAGAGAAGAGACTGAGTATAGGGAGTGATAATGAGAGAAAAGACTGAGTGTAGGGAGTGAAAATGAGAGAAGAGACTGAGTATAGGGTGTGAAAATGAGAGAAGAGACTGAGTATAGGGAGTGAAAATGAGAGAAGAGACTGAGTATAGGGTGTGAAAATGAGAGAAGAGACTGAGTATAGGGAGTGAAAATGAGAGAAGAGACTGAGTATAGGGAGTGAAAATGAGAGAAGAGACTGAGTATAGGGAGTGATAATGAGAGAAAAGACTGAGTGTAGGGAGTGAAAATGAGAGAAGAGACTGAGTATAGGGAGTGAAAATGAGAGAAGAGACTGAGTATAGGGAGTGAAAATGAGAGAAGAGACTGAGTATAGGGAGTGATAATGAGAGAAAAGACTATAGGGAGTGAAAATGAGAGAAGAGACTTAGTATAGGGAGTGAAAATGAGAGAAAAGACTGAATATAGGGAGTGAAAATGAGAGAAAAGACTGAGTATAGGGAGTAAAAATTAGAGAAGAGACTGAGTATAGGGAGTGATAATGAGAGAAAAGACTGAGTGTAGGGAGTGAAAATGAGAGAAGAGACTTAGTATAGGGAGTGAAAATGAGAGAAAAGAATGAGTATAGGGTGTGAAAATGAGAGAAAAGAATGAGTATAGGGTGTGAAAATGAGAGAAAAGAATCTCTAGATGAATAGCAGGAACACCAGACCAAATATGGCAGCAGTATTCAATGTACGGATGAATGGTAAATGGGCAAGATGGTTTCTGATGAGAAAAATTCTTTGACATGACAGCATTATCAAACTGTCTTTGCAGTAGATGCAACTATTGTTTTGGTGTCGTAGCTCCGCTTCAAATCAGTGAAATACGAGTTCCAGTGGCGGGAAGTTCGAGACTAGAAACTGTTGGGATTGACGACGTGGTGGCATTATCTATTTCAAAAGTAAACGGGTGGGACCTAGATGCCAATCGAGTAGCACGCTTAAATTCTTGTAGTCGGGGCACCATGGAAAAAAGTTTGTTAGAGCAGTTATCAGGAAAATACTTTTAGAAAAGACAGAGGGAAGTCACGTCACGTCGATGAGAAAGTGACTGGAGTCGAGATACCAGGTCAGTATCGATTATATTACAGATCCTTCTTTGGATTTTGTAAAGAATCTTGCGATATACAACATGAACACCAGACTAGACAAGTAACAGTATTCAATGCACGGACGAAAGGTAGATATATAAATGTGCAAGATTCAAATTTCCTTGCAGAAGATGCAGCTATTGATTCGATATAGTTGTTCTACTTCAAGTCAGTGGAAAACGTGAGGCCAAGAAGGTGCAGTGTGTTGCTCTCCAGGAGTCTAGCATCAACCATACTGATGGTAAATATAAAGGGTCCACTTTAAAAGATTTAAAGTTTTATTTTGGGGGCATTCAAGTTTACGAGCCATTTCTTGCTCCAGTTAACAACTGATTTAAGATCCCTTCCTGAAGAAGTTGCCAGGTTTGTCGGGTCTGTCGGACTTCTTACTCAGACAGGAGTAAATGGCAGTGTCATCTGCATAAATACCTGGTTGGGAACTCATGACATCGGGAATATCATTAATGAAGAGCAGAAAAAGTGTAGGTTTAAACCTTCCACACAAAATAAAATTAAATCCCCTTCGAAAGGTGGAATCTCAGCTAGTTATCAAAATATTAGTTTCTACGTGTCATAAAAGATGGCAGGCTCATATAAGTTTATAATATTTTTTAAGTACAGAGCAGTAACAAAATTACTTATTTTCTATTTACGAGTTAAAAATGTTTCCTTAGCTAAAAAATAATTAATGATGTTAAAGAATGTATTTTTATTTGTCATGTATAAATATCAGAAAACTATTTATATGACATTACCAGTACAGTCGAATATATAAATATAGACAATTTCAAATTTCTGTTTCGTGTAGAAAAGTATTGCACACACGCACACACAGATATATATATATATATATATATATATATAAGTGAATATTGAAGTCAACACATAGAGACTGTCACCTCTGATTGTCGACTTCAATATTCACTTTTATATTTACATACGCTCTATCTCTGATATTGAGCACTTTATCCCATAAAACTATATTTCTTCACACACATACACACACACACATATATATATATATATATATATATATATATATATATATATATATATATATATATATATATTTTTCAGCCTTTATCTGTTATGGAACTCCTTGTAGTGTTTTGGAGACAGAGCCCCCCCCATATAATATATATTCTGAAACGACATTACCTAGGCTAAGTATATTTCATTTTGATCAAAGGGCTCCTCCGGGGTTGCGGGCACAAAACCCCCGCTGAATTTTTCCCCTTTGTTTTTGTTGCACCGGCCTCTAACACAAGGGAATTACACCGGTTCTCACTATATATAGTGCCAGTAATACCTACCCGGTGTAAGCAGCGACAGTACTACAACTGCCTAGCTGAGTAGTACCCGTTTCCTACCTTTGTATCCGTGATGTTAAATACACTTGTTCTTTAAACCAACTTCGACTTGATTTTCTTATTTTTACTATTGTGCCACGGCACAACAGTTTTAAATTAAACTTAAATTTGAACAAGGGAATGACTCCTATCCAAAATATAAAAGGAGAAATCTAGAAGATGGAGGTCACATCGTCAAGACCATTTTGATCAAAAGGTGTCCCCGGTGGGCACAAACCCCACTTCTTAATTCTTTTCCCTTTGATTTAAATTACATTTAAATGTGAATAAAGTAATGACTCCTCTCCAAAATATAGAAGGAGAAATCCAGAAGATGGAGGTCACATCAGCATATATATATATATATATATATATATATATATATATATATATAAAGCTCAAGCTTTAATATTCCATGGTTATAATTTATTACTTTTTGAATTTGTAGGTCTGATGAATTGATAGTGATTACGATTCCAATGTAATAAATTATAACTATGGAATATTAGTGTTTAAGTCTTTTTATTGTGTGTATATATATATATATATATATATATATATATATATATATATATATATAAGCGTTTCACCACAAGCAAGGCGTGAAGCCACTAGCACGCAAAGGGTTACAGAGAGTTGGAGCGAGAACAAAGAGGGGTGACAGAGGAAAGGATGAAGAGAAGGATAGGGGATAGATCAAGGCATCGGGAGACGTTGATTGACATTACATTTGAATAGTTGGAGATTATAGCTATCAGGGAAACAAATATGAATATTCTATAAATCTTACTAAAAAAAAAATATTCGCTCTACGGTGGGATTCGAACTTGTGTTCCTATGTGCAGATAAAACAGACTTTAGATCTGACGTGCTCTAGACGGACTGAGCTACGAAGGTAAGGTTAAGCGAATAGAGACTTTACGCTCCCGAACTTTTCATGTCTGATCAGTTTCGTATGAAAACGTATATTGCATACAATAAAAGTTATAAAGTTATATTGCAGAAATACACAAGCGAGATATAAACAAAGCGTAATTGTAAAAGCGGTATTCGTACTAATATGGAGCCGTAACGTCGGCTGAAAGTGTGTTAGAATTTCATCATACATATACATAATATAACGTAAATCGTGAATTTTAACATTAAGAATTCATATACACTTCTTTTACCTTATAATAAAACAATTCATTTCTTTTGTATTATAAAAAGAATAAGAAAAACTTTTTTACAGTTTCCGTGTAACTTGTTTCTTTCAACTTAAAGGAAAACGAAGATTTTTTTACTTAATAAAATTATTTAAACGTATAAAGCCGTATTTGAAGATTATTTCTTTTCTTCGCTTTGCAAATACATTTTCTTCTACAAACTCTAACGTCTCCACCTAAACATCTGAATTTATTAAAAATAAGAATATCAAATAAGAGTTGAAGTGTTAATATTTCCCATGTTGCAACTTTAAATAATTGAAAGCATTTTGGGAAAAAAGTAGGAAATTGTTATTTACTGCATATAAATAACTATAAATGTTCTGACACTGATTTAATCATGGGCGCCGTCATTTTGGTTTCGATCGTATACAGACTAAGCTAAATGACAGCCACAAGCATACAACATATTTAAATATCTGCTTATATTTCGGAGATGAGGTATTATGTACACTATTTACATTATTCGGACTATTGTCCTCATCCTAATCCCTATATTTATTACAACGTTTCGGCCTTTCAGTATCTGTCTATATTTCTGACATGAGGTATTATGTAAACTATTTACATTATTCGGACTATTGTCCTCATCTTTGACACCATATTTATTACAACGTTTCGGCCTTTCAGTACCTGTCTATATTTCTGAGATGAGGTATTATGTAAACTATTTACATTATTCGGACTATTGTCCTCATCTTTGACACCATATTTATTACAACGTTTCGGCCTTTCAGTATCTGTCTATATTTATGAGATGAGGTATTATGTACACTATTTACCTTATTCGGACTATTGTCCTCATCTTTGTCGCCATATTTATTACAACGTTTCGGCCTTTCAGTATCTGTCTATATTTCTGAGATGAGATATTATGTAAACTATTTACATTATTCGGACTATTGTCCTCATCTTTGACACCATATTTATTACAACGTTTCGGCCTTTCAGTATCTGTCTATATTTCTGAGATGAGGTATTATGTAAACTATTTACATTATTCGGGCTATTGTCCTCATCTTTGACACCATATTTATTACAACGTTTCGGCCTTTCAGTATCTGTCTATATTTCTTAGATGAGGTATTATGTAAACTATTTACATTATTCGGACTATTGTCCTCATCTTTGTCGCCATATTTATTACAACGTTTCGGCCTTTCAGTATCTGTCTATATTTATGAGATGATGTATTATGTACACTATTTACATTATTCGGACTATTGTCCTCATCTTTGTCGCCATATTTATTACAACGTTTCGGCCTTTCAGTATCTGTCTATATTTCTGAGATGAAGTATTATGTAAACTATTTACATTATTCGAACTATCATCCTCATCTTTGTTGCCATATTTTTCACAACGTTTCGGCCGTTGTATGCTCCGGCCTTCTTCATGTGGTTGGAATGTCGAACTGAGCCCTTTATTTAGCTCGCGGGGGTAGACTCTTCTAGTTCCACGTGCCATGTCTAATGGATGTCAGTTATCAGTTATCTCCTGTTAATTCACCTCGACCGCCTTAACCAAGTATTGAACTCACACTGTTTTGGGTCCTGTCACTGGATCTAACTAACGCCTTTATCGAGTGTCCCATGTGTCCTTGAGGACACATGGCACAGTGGATAAAGGCGTTCGGAGTGTATAAAGGCGTTAGTTAGATCCAGTGATAGGACCCAAAGAGTGTGAGTTCAATACATAGTTAAGGCGGTTGAGAACTTGGAGAGGTGAATTAACAGAAGATTACTGATAACTTACATCCATTAGACATGGCACGTGGAACTAGAACAGCTTACCCCAGCGAGCGAAATAATGGGTTCAGTTCGACATTCCAAACACCTGAAGTAGGCCAGGGTGTACAACGGCCGAAACGTTGTGATAAATATGGCAAGATGAGGACAGTAGTCCGAATAATGTAAATAGTGAACATATTTAAAATACTGTAAATAAATGACTGTAAAAATACTAACTGTGATTTCTCATAGGCGCCGCCATTTTGATTTCGATCGGATATTCCGCAGTATAGAATAAGTTTTCTCGTAGGCGCCGCCATTTTAGTTAGAATAGTATAATCTGCAGTACAAACTAAACTAACGGCACCCACCAACATACAATTTAATAAAGATACTGCAAATAAATCATCATAAAGATGCTGACAGTGATTTCTCGTGGGCGCCGACATTTTGGTTTCGATCGGATACTCTGCAGTATGGTGTAAGCAAAACGACACTCACCAACATAGAATTTTATAAAACAAAATACTACAATTAAATGAATATGAAGATGCTGACAAGTGATTCTCCATTGGGACCGCCATTTTTGGTTTCGATCGGATATACCTCAGTACAGACTAAATTAAAGTACACCCACCAACGTACAATATGATACAAAATACCGCAAATAAATCACTATAAAGATGCTGACAGTGATTTCTCAAGGGAGTCGCCATTTTGGTTTCGATCGGATACTCTACAGTAGAGAATAAGCTAAACTATACACACTAACACACAATATCATAAAGTTACTACAAATAGATGGCTATAAAGATGATGTCAGTGATTTCTCAAGGGAGCCGCCATTATGGTTTCGATCGGATACTCTGCATTACAAAGTTGAACGACACAGAACTACATAGAATTTAATTAAAAAAGATACTGCAAATAAATGACTATAAAGATGCTGACAGTGATTTTTCAAAGGCGCCGCCATTTTGATTATGATCATATAGTCTGCAGTGCAGACTAAACTAAGACACCCACCAACATAGAATTTAATAAAAAATACTGCAAATAAATCATTATAAAGATGTTGACTGGGATTTTTTCTGAGCGCCGCCATTTTGGTTTCGATCGGATACTCTGCAGAAGAGAATAAGCTAAACGAAACACACAAACATACAATATAATGAAAATACTGCAAATAAATCATTATAAAAATGCTGACTGTGATTTGTCATAGACGTCGCCATTTTGATTTCCATTGGATACGTTCCACTACAGAATGTCAAAATCCTTTTACGAGTTTATCAAATATGTAATCAAAATATATACAATGCCAGTTTTTTTTTTTTTAAATAACTGAAAAAATTAATGATTTTAAAATTGTTACATTTATATAGAATTTAATGTAGCACAAAATTTGTGAATCTATTTTTTGTTTTGAATTCAGTTTAAAATATCTCGAAAACTTTGTGAATTGAGGAAATCGATTTTATTTCCTCAAAAGGCCAAGGAATCAGAGAAGCTTGAAGAACTCAATTTTTGGCTTGAATAGGAATTTCGACACAAATCAGACTATCGGCCCATTTCGGCCTCTTGGCCGGAATTGGACTTCTGGCCTAAATCAAAGTTAAACTGAGGTTTTGATGTTCCATGGCGTAAATTGAGGAATTTCATGTTATTTCTTCATAATTATCATTGGTGTTTTTAAGTAACCAGAGTTCTCTTTAGTTTTGGTAATTTGCCTTCTGCTGGATAGAGCTGAAAATCCACACGGAGTGCGGCTTTTCAGCTAGTATATAATAAAATAAACAAACAAAATATACACACTAAAATATGAGGAGTGATGGCAAGTGCTGAATTCAATCTGGAATAGTTTGGGTGTATGTAAGACACATGGACAGACTGAGATAGATAGATAGATAGATAGATAGATAGATAGATAGATAGATAGATACGAACAAGTTGATAGATAGATAGCTAGCTAGATAGATAGAAAGATAGATAGATTACGAACAATGAGATAGATAGATAGATAGATAGATAGATAGATAGATAGATAACAAACAAGTTGATAGATAGATAGATACGAACAAGTTGATAGATAGATAGATAGATAGATAGATAGATAGATAGATAGATAGATATAACGAACAAGTTGATAGATAGATAGATAGATACTCGTATATATCTTATTGGAAAATTGGAAAAAATAATTAAACAGACAGATCTTGTCGGTTGAATTTATTGGCGACAAGGTTTCGTCATTTTACAATTGAAATGATTAGATGTAACCGTAAGTTCTATGCTAGCAGTTTCTTCTCTCACAATTCACGCTTGTGGAACTCTCTTCCAGATTCTTGCCTCCCAGTCAACTTTGATCTTCAAAAATTAAATCCAGTTTCAATCGTTATCGTTTGTCTCCTTAATTCCTCTTATTTTATTGTTCTCTCACCTTAATAATGCATTTTTCTCATATTGTCTTACACTCAGTAACTCCTTTGCGTCTTAGTGGCTTTTTATTGCCTTTCTTGGCGTGAAATGATTAAATTTCACGCACGCACGCATGCATGCACACACACACTTATATATATATATATATATATATATATATATATATATATATATATATATATATATATAATAAAAAAGGCTTAAACACTAATATTCCATTTTGTAGGTCTGATGAATTGGATCTATATATATATATATATATTTATGTATATAAAAATAAAGATTGTTCCAATAACTTGGACCGATTTTAAATATGAATTAAGTTTAAGCGTCTAATGATTTTTTTTTCTTTCAGATTTGGCAGACATTTGGGTGATATTATTTTTCACACATAATTGCCATGACTTAAATAACATGATCCAATAGAGAAATAAATAGATTTTCACCAATAACACTGATTTATTTACTGCTGATCCTTTTTAATGAAACACCCTTATATATAATCCGTCTTAATGAAACACCCTTTACATCATAATATTTTTTGTGAGGTGGCGCAACATATTGCAACCATCACTTCCGTTATGAAATCTTCCAGAATAAAACAGGAAACTGTTCACATTCATCAAATCAAGAAACTCATTAACAACAAGAATAAAATTTAGTAGATTATGTCAGCATCCTTTTGCGAGATAACCAAATATATACAATGTCAGATTTTCATTTCGTGATAAATACTGTAATAAAAATGTGTCCTGGCCGTAGATCTTAGCAACTTGTGTCATAAGTTGGGCACCTCGAGGCGGTGTAACGGTTAGCAAGCTTGCCTCGCTAGAACAATTACGACTAAATAGTGAGTTCGATCCTCACTGGGTGCCCCATACTTACGGCCTTGTGCCACATCTAAGCTACGCTTGGAAAATCACTATATGAGAATCACTATTTGGGCACCTCGAAGTAGTGTAATGGTTAGTAAGCTTGCCTTGTTACGAACAATTACGACTGAGTAGCGAGTTCGATCCTCACTAGGCGCCCCATACTTTCGGCCTTGTGCCACATCTGAGCTACGCTTGGAAAATCACTATGTGGGCACCTCGAGGTGGTGTAATGATTAGCAAGCTTGCCTTGCTAGAACAATTACGACTGAGTAGTGAGTTCGATCCTCACTAGGTGCCTTTTACTTTCGTCCTTGTGCCACATCTAAACTAGGCCTAGAAAATCACTAGCCGGCCTTGTGCCACAATTCTGTATGATTCAGAATAAATATTCACCTGTGTCTTAGGTTTTTTTACTGATCGAGAACTAAACTAAAAGTGCTTTATGGCTTATATTTGGCATATCCAATTTGAGAGAATGGTTATAATTATTTTCGGACTTGACCGTGGTTAAATAAAACCAAGACAAACGAAACCGCGGATAAGAGAGAACTCTGTGATGGCAGAGTAGCCAATATTTTTGTCTAGAATATACATTTTAACCAGCTTCTTTTTATATTGAATTTGTAATTATTTTATTTTCTTCTTCCCATCTCGTTATTCTCAGTTCTTTATTTTTTGTTTAAGAGTTCCTTTTTTTCTTCCTCGTACTTTCAATTATTTTTTTTTGCTTTAATCACAAACTGCTTCAGTCCCTTTCTCAACGACGAGACATTGCTTCACTCTGACTTTCCTATAAATAACAACTATTCTGATGAGCTTTTTTCCCAGATGCCCTGACTACATTAATTTAAGCGTGCCACTAGATTGGCAATTAGGTCTCATCGTATTACCGTTGAACTAGCTAGATGCAACCGCTACTTCTATTCTAACAGTTTCTTTTACTCGTCCTTCTGACCTGTGGAACTCCTTACCGATTTCTTGCTTCCCAGCCAACTACAATCTTCAAAAATGTAAATGAAACTTCCCGTAACCACCTGCGTCGTAGTGACATAATCACCTTGATGCGGGGATTTTTTAAAATATTTTATTTTTATCCGTTTTCTTCTTTTTGGTTCTTCTTGACTTTTTCTTGAGTAAAATTCTTTTGCAACGCGCTGACTCGTGTTAAAATCCTCGCAATATTTAATTGTTGAAGTTATCGCTAATATTTTTGACACGTTTTTTGTCTACGCTTCGTTCAATTTCGCAGACCAATCGATGAAAGTTGAATAAGCTGATTTGTTTGGAAAAATACTTTGACAAAAACCATATTTCGCGGTTTGATCATTTCTTACATTAACTTTACAGGACATCCTGGTGAACAATATTTTAAAAAAAACCCTATTTTCTTTCCTTTTAACAGCGAAGAATAAATTCTTAAGATTTCTTACTCTTGAGCATGCAACATAAAACTGGCCATTCGTAAATATTTATTTCTAAAGCCAGATTCCAACTTTTGATGCGTTTGGCCTTGTTATTTATTTATAGTTCTCGCAAACGCAGTGCGAACTGAAAACTGGGTTCTTGTATATAAAAACTTAAAGAAAAGATATGTAAAAGGCAGTATTGCATTTTTATTAAACAAGTATTTACTATTTTATTCGTTAAATTGTTTTTTTAAAATAGTGAGTATTTTGTATGTTAAATAATAAAATTTTAAATTTTTCCAAAAATAAATTAATATAAATTTATTGTACTAAGCTACGCACCCTAGTAAAATCAACTGGACTTTGAATCTCAAAATTTGGTTTCAGTCAGTCAATGTATGGTTATTTTAGATCATGTGATTAATGGACGGACGGGCTGACGGAAGTCGCAGAATTATATATATATATATATATATATATACTCGACTTTCCCGTCGAATTCGACGTATGAGGGTCAAGCAGATCAGTTCCTAGGAAACCGACAGCCCGACACCAGCACATGAGATTTGATTATAGTGGTGAAGGTTTCGTGCAGGACCATCCACACTTTTTGAAGGGCCGATTACAGAGACCTGGTGCACTACGTGCCACAAGGTCCCCAAACGACCCTCCGCAGGTTTTGAATTCAGAGTTGTCCTTCTCCTAGACCAGTTGCTATCTAAGGCTATAGAACCGTCTGTCCTGCTATTTACCCATGGATGGAGGGAGGATTCACACCTTTCCCAAGGGTATTAGCACGTAAGTGAATGTAATGGATTCGACTGGAATTCGAACTCGGCTCTCCGATTCCTCAATCCAAGCCGCTATCCATAGCCACCGTGCCTCCTCTCATATATATATGTAAGTTAATGGTCAGAGTTGAATCAGACCCGGGAACAGTGGTATTAAAAATGTTCAATACACGTGAGAAAAAAATAAGTAAAATAAGTGAGAATATATATATATATATATATATATAGCTACTTTCTACTGTTTCTCTTTTTTTTTGTGTTTCACGTGTTTTTTTGTGTTTTGTTTTACTTTTCATATATATATATATATATATATTTTATTATATTCTCCTTTGTCTTTTTCGGATTTAATTTCTTTTTATTTTCTTTTTGTGTCCATTCACCCATTCCTGATATACTTTCTTTCATTTCGTTATTTTTTTTTTCTCTTTTCCTTTTTATATTTAATATTTTGACACTTTTTTTCCTGGTAAAGATCGAACTCACGACGCTGCGTTACTTGTTGTTCATCGTCTACTTAGGCACGGACTTTCAACACTGAACATATTGCCAAAGTGGCGAAGTCCAAAAGAATTATGAATGACTTTATCAACCTCTCATAATATATTCACCCAATACAAGGCTCAAGCTAGGGAGTTGCAGTTTGAAATTGTTATATTCTGTGCCAATAGGAATATATACTTGACAAACAAGGTGGATAAAATAAGTAAAGGTTTATTGTAAAAAGCCAGTACAATAAGAATAAAGGTAACAGTTACGCACTAGGTCCTCGTAAGTAAATCAAGTAGTGAGTTTTACTATTGGAGGGTCCATAATTCTCGCGTAAGTCCGAGTCTTACTCAACAGATCCCAGCTACTAATATTTACCAACCTCCCCACGGGGTAGGATGTGGTACAAGAACGAATTTAATGTGAGGCAATCCGAGCCCGTAGGCCCGGTCAAAAATTCCCCGTAAACCCCGCATCAACGGTTTCGGGTCCGTCTACCTCCCCGGGCGAGACTCTACCCTTCGGCAGAAAAGATTCCAGCTAGTCGAAATTTACCAGCCTCCCGACGAGGTATGATGTGGCACAAGGCCGAGTTTAACGTGAGGCAATCCGAGCCCGTAGGCCCGGACAAAATTCCCTGCAAAACTTGCATAAACGGGTTCGGGTCTGTCTACCTCCCCGGCCGAGACGCTACCCCTCGGCAGAGAAGATTCAAGCTAGTTGACATTTACCAGCCTCCCCACGAGGTAGGATATGGCACAAGGCCGAGTTTAATGTGGATTAATCCAAGCCTGTTGGCTCGGTCAAAATTCCCCGTAGACCCGGTGTCGCGTAGTTGTTTTGCGAGAAGAGACTCTGCCCTTCGACATAACCTCGCCTGGTTTGACCAGCACAGCTGGATACCAGCTAGTATATTTAGCTACCCCCCCACGAGGATTTCATGTGGCACAAGGCCGGTTTAACGTGGGTTCTCCGAGCCCGTATGGTCGGCCAAAAATATTCCCTTTTGAACCCGCATAAACGGGTTCAGGGGCAGTCTAGCTTCCCGGACGAGACTCTGCCCTTCGGCGGAGCCTCGTCCGGCGTTCCTCTCTGCCCGAAGGCAGAGAGTTCGACTGTTTATCTGGAACAAGTCTCAGCTAGTCTCTATAGTCCGTTGACTTGCAGATACTTATAGTTAGTTACTACCTATAGTGTAGTCATTCATGGGGGTGACATGTTATTCCATTACATCATAAATGATAATATTAAATTAGGTGTGGGATAGAAATGTAAGATGAGGTAGAACGAAGCTGTAATTAAGAGGATAAGAAGAACAGACAAGGATTGATCCTTGACTTGAAGAGGACAACGATCAATCTTAAAGAACTTCGGGGAAGCACACACGTGGGAGTCTGTTACAGAAATTAAAGTTTCCGGAAAAGAGCTGAGTAGAACTTCTTTTTTACATTTGGAAAGTGGGTGAAATCAAGATGATTCAATTCCGTGGACGTAGCATAACGTGTCTTGCAATTAAAGACTTGAGCGGGTGAAACAAGAGAATGGAGCTCTTCGGAACATTCCCATAAAATAGCACCAAAAGAGCAAAAATCTTACAACGTTCGTCTCTGTGTGTGTGTACAGGCGGGGGGGTATATGGTTATCGAGAGAAAAATACGTCTTCCTCTACACGGCTGCGTAAACGATTTTTAAGATTATCAAGGTTATAAAATAAGACTCGAGACCTCGCGAACCGCATGACCAAGTATCAGGCACTGAAGTGGATTTCCCGAGAATACAGGGTCGGTGGAAATAATCTACCTATTGAAAAGTACTTATAACTTTAGTTAATATCACCACATTTACATGAAAGAAATTTTATTATGATTGCTAAAGTGGTAGAATTTCATTGCCAATTTCTGTTTTTATTTCACAATGACAAGTGTCACCCAGTATTCGCACTGATATATTTCTTTTCTATCTAATTGCATGGTCAGTGGTGGTCAGTGGATCACCCTTCCTACCAATCATCTCTACTCGTTTGTATTTCGGAGTGTCAAGTATCACCGAGAATGGCACAAAACCTGACACTGCATAGGCGTGCACAGCTATCATCCTGTTACGAAGTGTGGCAATCCGTGTTATAAGTGCAAACATGGTGGCGCAGTTTTCATGGACCTCGTGCTTCAGTAGATGCCAAAATCATCAGAATTTCTCATTCCAAGTTGATGATACCCACAGAAGCAGTCAGACTTCAGCATCCCAATTGGAAGAAAAGGTGCAAACGGTAGCATTCTAATACTCTACTGTATTGAAATATTGAAAATAAAATATTTTTTTTTATGAACATCGATCAATAATTAGTGAAGTTATTAATAATCTTAAATACAGAGTTTCGTTCCATCACCCTATTTAAAAGTGAAAACGTCCGCGCCAGTATTCGCACTCATATCTTTCTTTCCTATTTAATTGCATGGTCGGAGGTGGTCAGTGGATCACCCTTCCTACCAATCATCTCTAATCCTTTTCGTTCTTCGGGGATAATTTCCAGTATTCACACAAAATGTAACTGATTGTCACTTTATCATTCTACGTCCAATAAGGTGAGGGCTATCAATTACCGTACAAAGAGTTACAGTGACTTTTTCAACGACTAACGCTATGGTGCAAGGACAATGGTCGTCACATAATCTCTTTATATTATTAAGTTTGATGCGTGACCATAAAATCCGTATTTTGCAATCAGCAAATAGAAGTTGCTAATCATCGTGTCACGCTCGGAGTCCCCAGCATTTTGTTCATGAAATTTGCCTAAAGTTTTCTTCTTTCTTGCAGAGAATGTATGCTAAGGAAGGGGAAGTGAGGAAATGCAGAGAATTTTAGTTTTATTAAGTATACACACGCTCGTGTATGAGAACTTAAAAACAGCGGTGAAAGAAAATGAAGGGAAAAGTTTTAAATAAAGCTGTTAATAAAAAGAGGAAAGAAAGAAAGCAGGGTTTATTTTTTACACGGGAATTGAGTAAAAGTAAGGCACATGGACTATGAAAACTTTCGAAGAGAGAATATAGGAAAAAAAAAGAAAATATGGAAAAAGAGTCAACCGTCATCTTCCCCCCTCCCACATTCATATAACCTACCCCTTAACGTATCCCTCTACCTCGAGTGGCCCCCGGGCCTTGTACAGGTGAACCTTACTGTAAAAAAAGAAAAAGAAAAAAAGGAATTAAAAAATATGGAGAAGAAAATAAAAATGGCGAAAGAGGGAAAATATGAAAAGATAGATAGATACGAAGTAACTTGCTGAATAGATAGATAGATAGATAGATAGATAGATAGATAGATAGATACGAAGTAACTTACTGAATAGATAGATAGATAGATACGAAGTAACTTGCTGAATAGACAGATAGATAGATAGATAGATAGATAGATAGATAGATACGAAGTAACTTGCTGAATAGATAGATAGATAGATAGATAGATACGAAGTAACTTACTGAATAGACAGATAGATAGATAGATAGATAGATAGATAGATAGATAGATAGATACGAAGTAACTTGCTGAATAGATAGATAGATAGATAGATAGATACGAAGTAACTTGCTGAATAGATAGATAGATAGATAGATAGATACGAAGTAACTTACTGAATAGACAGATAGATAGATAGATAGATAGATAGATAGATAGATAGATAGATAGATAAAAGAAATAGAGAAAGAGAGAGAGAGAGAGAGATGGGTTGAAAATATTCAGACAGTATAAAAATATGGCGAAGAAATTTAAGTATGGAGAGGGAATGAAAACTACTAAAATTAATCAATATATTTTAATATTAAGTAAGTATACTGAGAGAGAGAGAGAGAGAGAGAGAGAGTGTGTGTGTGTGTGTGTGTGTGTGTGTGTGTGTGTGTGTGTGTGTGTGTGTGAGGGAGAGACAGACAGGGGAGTAAATATTTAGAGGGAATTAAAAAATATAAAGAAGAAAATAAAAATGTCGGAAGAATGACAATATGGAAATAGAAAAAAGAGAATGGGGAATGAAAATATCTAAAAGGAATTAAAAAAAATATGGAGAAGAAATTAAAATATTGTGAGGGAACTAAAAAATGGAGAAAGAATGAAAATATGGGGTGGGGAGAGAGAAATATGAAGAAGGAATGAAAATATCTAAACGGAAGAAAAAGTATCAGGAAGAAATAAAGTATTTAGAGGGAATGAAAAATATGGAAAAGTTATTAAAATATAGAGAGGGAACTAAAAATGAAACAAGGAGAAAAAAGAGAGCAAATGAAAAATATGGTGTACGAATGAAAAATATATAGAAAGAATAAAAATATTTAAAAAAAATGAAGAAAAAATAAAATACGTAGAAGGAATAAAAATATGCATAAGGAATGGCAGTATGTGGGAGGGAATGAAATCATGGAAAGAGACTGAATTTAGGAAGAATGAATGAAAAATATGCACGAAAGGACTTCTTTGGGAATTTTTTCCACTTGTGATTTTTGAGTCCAAGAGTTTAGAATGGAAGGCAAATAAGTTCGAAAGGGGAACAGATTTTACGTTAAGGAAAAGAATGTGTGCTAATGCATTTACTGAATAGTGGAAGAGTCGGGAAGTTTATCTTTCGTCTTCTTCTTCTTCTTCTTCTTATTCTTATTCTTATTATTATTATTATTATTATTATTATTCCTCTATTTATTTTTTTATTGGATTATCTTTATTTGTTTGTTATACGAATTTATTTGGGCTTATTGTATTACACTTCTTCCACTTGCTCAACTCGAGGAGTGTGGTGCATTTGAGAAAATCTGTCTAGATTTTTACTCCAAAGAGGAGGAGAAAGGAGATGGTCTTTTAGAGGAAACAATTTTTTAAGTCCTGACCGATTTGTCGGGATGCAGCGAAGGAGATCTGATAGGACAGGGTTTGTAGGGGGGGGGTTCAGTCCCAAAATATGACTCACATTGTTGGTTAGGGGGTTAGTGGCTGGAGACGACTAGCGGATAGTTGTGATGGACAAAGAAGTGGATGAAGGGGGGGGGGAAAGAAAAGACAGAAGAAGGAGCAAACGACTTAGACACAATGAAATAAGGATAGGGGAGGAGAGGAGGAGGAGGTTCATGGGTGGGGGTGACAAGTGATGGTGCCCCGACTCCCACCAAAAATTTTACAGTGGCTAAGGGCAGCGGTGATAAGACCAGAAAAACTGGGACGACATGAGTCAGACTTTCCAGTGATGTCGACATCGCGAATGGCGCTAAGACAACGCTGGGACAACGATGTCATGGGCGTCGGCGCTCGGGGTTGTAAAGAAAACAGAGTGAGGCTGCCAGAAAGACGAATAGGATGAAGAACCTGGGAATCTGCTCGAAAGAATGGGAAAGGTGAAGTGATAGGGAAACAGGGTGGGGTAGGTCAAATGGAACAGGGTATTTAGAGCTTGAAAATACACATTCTTTTTTTTTAATGTGAAAACTGGATTCAAAACGGTGCGGGGTGACATCCATGTTAGCCAATGCAAGGACAAAAAGAACTTTAATTTTCCTGACTCAAAAGTACTATTATTTGAACTCGTCGTTTGAATGTCGATTTTCACTTTAAATAAAGTTACGCAAACTCTCCTTAATTATCCAGGACTGTCCCTAGTATTTTCACTAATTTTAGTACTTCTACCAGTACTACTTTTAGTAAAACTGGTTTCGATTCTTCATAAGATTTTTAATTTTTCCGAACTCTTTGCTAAGTTTTTCAATACTATTCCATGTGCTCCCATTACGATTGACAGTACTGTCTCTATCATGTTCTGGAAAATTGATACAATTATTTAGCTTTTTGCTTTTTAAAAAAAAAATTCTACTCCGATCTCCTGAAGTAGTGGCATCGATCAACTAGCAGGTTTCTCTGCTTGTTAACAGAAACTGGATCTAGTTTTCTGGATTGGATAATACATTGGAATCGTAAAGACATAGAGAACTTTATGTTCTTAATTCTTCAGGACAGATTTGATCCGTGTATATATCATTTATCTGTATGATCAAAACGCAGTCGCTGGAACAGTTCCCAAGGGATCACCCTTCCTACCTTTTTGTTTATAGCATAAACTGGATATATGTCTACCTTCTTCATTCTAGTGTAAACCTGAACCATGTCTAGGATCTGTTTGAAAAATTCTTATTTGATGCAATAAATACCAGCACCCCCTTCTCAAATCTCAATGCTCTGATTATTATCATTATCATCATTGCTACTATTATTATTATTATGGTCACAGTACCTACCAAGTCTGTGGGAAGACCTAAGGCAGGTAGTGGTATGTTTTTATGGCTATATTTCATGATTTGTTTTTCTAACTCCCATAACATCACTAGCATTACATGGACAAATTTCTTCAGCGTGAACAGTATTTATCAAGACATCTTTTGTATTTGACTTAAACTGGGATTTCCAGGGATTTTTTTTAATTTGTTGTTGTGTTCCTTTTTTATCATTCCAAGCGCACCTACTATGACCGGTACTATTCTTGTTTTCAATTTCGACATTTTTTTTTTTTCGATTTCCAGGTCTTTAAAGTTCGATAGTTTTTCAAATACCTTGTTACAGTCTGCTGGGCATGCCATATCAATCAGTAGGCAATCAGTTTTTTCTTTTCGATTTCTGACAGTTAGGTCCGGCCTATTTGCTTCAATATTCCGGTCTGTAAAGATGGTGTAACCCCATAAAATTGTGATGTCTTTTATTTCTGTAAACGATGCTGGGTGATGTTCATACCAGTGTTTGTTAATACCTTTTTTCAAAGTGTTTCCCATTGTCTACTATAAATATTGCCCCCACTCTATCATGACGATTTTTAGTTATTATTATTATTATTATTATTAAATATCCTCGCGGACTTTTAAATGTTTCCATCAGCGGAGAGACACATACTTTCCTCAGCATATAAGCTGTTCAAAGTAGTGCTGCCATCTGCACATTATGGCTGGTATCTCCAAGACGTCTTGTAGAGCAGAGAGATTCCTGGAAATACTCTCGATTGCGCCAACCACAAAAGGGGCATCTTAAGCTACTGCTTGGTATACTCCTCTGATTTGCACTGCCAGGTTTTGGTATCTCTGTATTTTCACCTGTTGCACCTTCAGAATGTTCTAAATCTCAAAGCACCACCAACATGTCAAGATCCATTCCCCGCTGCTCTTGTGCACAAGTGTGACATCAGGGCGATTGCTGTCAAAGCGCTTGTCGTATCCCACATGAACTTGCTGATTCTCGACTAATGCCGGTAGCGAACGCTTTTACTTCTCTACGCACTCGAGGTCATACCTCCTAATGTATTCAGTGGGCTACATCGTCATGGCGTCGGCTGAATGCAGCTACTGACAATGCGTCCTTTCATTGGATTTTCTATACGGCTGGCACAAAGGTACATAATCTGTTCTACCAATAGCGAAGGTGATAGAATTTGTTCTGTAAATATTATCTCTTCAGTTTCTTTCTTGCACTTACATTGCAGTGAAATCATCATCTCAGATCAGCCGTACATATGGTTTTTCTAACGTCAAACTGAGTTCAAAGTCTATTTTCCATGATCTGGCGGGTGAAGAGAAATTGTTTTTATGATTCGAATTTGAAAATATTTCTTAGTATATGCCATACTTCGATCCTTGTTGCATTCATCAGTTTCAGTGACTGTCTTATCCTTCCATGGATCCCGAGGTATACCAATTACACCGAATATTATTGGGTACTAGCGATACTTGTGTCCATTTCACAGCTTTCCTGTTTTAATTTTCAGATGAATCTTAATGTTTATTACTTCAAAGCTCCAACGAAAATTACATTTCGTCATCGTATGACTCATAAGGTGTTGATATGCCGTTAAACAAATGAATAAATGTTTTCTTTCTTTCTGAAATAATTAAAAAAAAAACAAACAATAAAGTCACTCTCAAAAGACATTAGAGAACCCGAACTATGTAATATTTCCAATACACCACAGTACGCGTTCCAGAAAAAGAAAAAAAAAACATATGAACAACATACCGTGCCCCGCTTGAGCTTTAATTCTTAGTAGGTGATCATGGCCCTCCACTGCCTTCTATCGCTTGTAGCTCTCAATAAGTTTTGTGTTGTGGATTCCGGGTTGAAATCCGGTACCAATAAATAACAAACGCCAGGAATGAATATATGAAAATAATGTATTAACGTAATAATACAAACTGGTAAAGCAGATTAGTAGTTCCAGGAATACGGGTTAGTAGCAAAATATATACAGTGTTTGGTATTGAAGTATCGCTGTATGACTTCTTACTGAGTCTACGTGCTCGCTCACTGTGACTCCTACAACGCTGTTACCTCACCCTCACTCTTCCGGTTACCTACAACCTTTTACTCTGTCACTCTGGACTCGACTCGTCTCTTCGGTCTGGCTCTCTCTTATTCTCATCTCGCTCTTGCAGTAGTATATGTATATACTGGGTGAGTCCATTTGTATAAAAAAGGATGGATCCCTCAACATTTTGTCCCTTTGCTACTTTCCTCCCAGGCTATATTCTGTCATCCACTTGCTTAACCCCTTGTCTCTCTTTCTCTCTATTCGGCCTGTGAGTATCAAATTCTCTAAGCCGTCCTTTTTCGTTATATGTCCCAGAAATTTCAGCTGTTTGTTCCTGATGTGAAGTATAAGCTTTCTTCTTGTTTGCATCCTCTCCAAAATCTCATCGTTGCTCACATGTTCGGTCCATTGTATCCTTAGCATCCTTCTGTAGAACCACACCTCTGTTGAGTCTCTTCTTCATCTTTGAGGAGACTGTCCAACATTCCCTGCCGTAAAGGAGGACAAATATCATGTAGCAGTTCAGTACTCTTTTCTTTGTTACGAACGAAATCCTCCTGTCTTGTAATATTCTACCTAAATTTTGGAATGCGTCTTTGGCCATCCCAATACTTCTTCGGATCTCAGCGTCGCACTTACCGTCCTCTGTCAGAACACTTCCTAGATATATAAATTTCCGCACCTGATTGAGTTTAGTGTCCTTGACCTGTAAATCGTAATTCGGGTTCATGCTTTTACTGATGATTATGCATTCCGTCTTGTAATTTATGCTTAGTCCTTTCTTCTCGCTCTCCTTTACGATTTCCTTAGACGATATCAATTGCAATTGCGACGAAAAGCGAAATAAAAAATAAACAATCAATAAAGAATTGTTCTTTAAACCTTTAGAACTTTTCGATATTTAAATTTAACTTTAAATAAGTTTATTTCTTTAATTTTTAAATCCCCTCTAACTATAGTAGTTACTACCTTCAGATTATGATTTACCAAGATCGAAAAACGGACGGACGGACGGACATACGTACACTGCGCTTTATTTGTATAGATGACTTCGAAACTATTAAAAACTATTTTATTACACTAAATATTTCACTCTAATAATATTTTTTTAATAGCCATTCGTTGGTCCGTCGCCAGGTTAAATTACGCATTCACCTAAAAAGATGAGCTTGCTAAGTGTTGCTATTCGAAGATACTTGATATATTCACCTGTTTAATCCATTTTACCTGTGTAATTCAGGAGTATTTACCTTTTTAAAGTTTACTCAGCACAAGGCTCAAGATTCACCCGAAGTAGAGCTTTATAGAATGAGGTTTGTGATATGAATATAACGTGTAGCAAGAATGGAATATTATCAGGATAATTCAGATATACGAAAAAGAAAAGTTTTTAGCCAGGAGAAATAAATGACATCCAATTTCAAAATGTAATTACGTTAACCCAACTCAACATAAATTAACAGTATTTGGAACTAGTATAGAGTAGGTCCTCCATTTGCTAGTTTCAGTACTTGTATTTGATTTTTCTTAGATTTGATCAAATTATCAACAATTGTCTGATCCATATTTTGTCACTTTTTTAGCAATGTTCCTTTAAAGGTTGTCATTGATGTGATTTTCGTTGCACGCTCTCAAAGTCTTCGGTCAAGGTGCTCTGAAATGTGTTCTATTGGATTCATGTCAGGATTTTGGGGCTACCCATGGCAGTGACTTGATTCCTTGTGATTCTTTCCAAATCTTTGCTACTTTGCTCGTATGACATGGCACTCCATCTTCTTGAAAAAGGTAGACATTCTTTTCAGTCTGATTGGTTTCAAATAATGGGAGTTGTCCTTTCTCTAACATCTGACAGTATTTTGAACCATTCAATCGCTCGTCAACAAAAAATCAGCTCAGATTTCTCTCCAAACAAGACAGCGCCCCACACCATTACTTCAATCACTCCATGTTTCATGGT